AATCCCAGATCTGAAATAGTTTTGGCAAAAAATATACAAAGTCACTTTGTAGAAGAGACTGAGTCAGAAAGAAGGGTGGGGCTCCCTCGTGTCCAAGTTCTGGAAGGTTTGTATTGTATAGGATTTAGACCAGAGTACCCACATATAAACAACGGGGGTTGATGTGTGTGCCTGCCTGGGTGCCCCCTTGTCCCTCCCTGCCCGGCCTGATCTTTGTCTCCTCCTGCCTGGAGAAAGGAGGCTGGGATCCACCCCTTCCCCATACCAACCCTGTCCTCTACTTTGTGGGTTGTGACGAATCCAAGTCCCATTCAAGGGCTTGTGGTTTGCAGAAGCTTCTGCAGCTATTATGCTCTTCCCTTTTGTGGAGCACAGGACATTCATCCTCCCCCTTCTCCCCTTTCTCCTCTCCCTCACAGTTTTGGTAAAAGGGACACCCCTCCACAACCCCAAGCTGAGCTCAGCTGCTGCCCCCCAACCCCAGTCCCAGCAGACTGCCGTCAGGAACCTGGGACCCTAGTCAGCCCCGGGCCCACCTCCAGCTGGAAGATGCCCTGCAGCCCTGTCCCCTAGCCAGTTCCAGGGACTGAGAGAAAGGCCTGTGTGTGAGGGGTGGGTTCCTCACTGCTTTGGGCGTGATGTCACAGAACCTCCTAATGAGCCCCCCTTCCCCCTTTGCTCTTGGAGTAGATTAGCCCCGCCATGAAGTGACGTCACAGTGACAACCCCCTCCCATCCTCTAATAAATATAAGTCTTCTTTGTCTCTAGAAGAGGATGTGAATGGGTTGCCAACAGCTGGCTTTCTTCATTCCCCTCACCTACTTGCTTTCCCTTTCCCATCCATACCTCCACCCTCCTTTACCTCCATCTTACTCCCATCTCACAGATTGACCAACCCTGAAAGTCCTGCTAGTGCCTAATGGATTATGAGTGAGGTTAAGTGCCCCTCCCCTGTTCTTGCCTTAGTCCGTCTCTTTCTACTCCTTATCTTCTCTTCCGTTCCCCCCCCAACCTTTTCAGGAAGCCCACCACCCCTCCCCAACTGGCTTCCTTTAGTGCTCAGGAGTACCTGTGTAAGTATGGGTGGATGGTTCTGGGAATTTCAATAGCTCTTCATCTTAGAAATTGGAATCAGTTCCTTCTCTATCTTGCATATGCAAGAGTTCTTAGAAAACTTTACTGCAAAGATGTTTTTCCTCACGTAACTGTTACCCTTCTCATTCTATTTTTTTCTTATTAATAAATTTATTTATTTTTAGTTTTCAACATTTACTTCCACAAGATTTTGAGTTCCAAATTTTCACCCCATCTCTCCCCTCCCCCACCTCAAGATGGCATGCATTCTGAATGCCCCTTCCCCTACTCTGCCTTCCCTTCTATTCCCCCCTTCTCTTATCCCCTTCCCCTTCAATTTTCCTGTAGGGCACGATGGATTTCTGTATCCCATTTCCTGTGTTTCTTATTTCCTACTTGCATGTGAAAACATTTTTTTAAACATGTGTTTTTAAAACTTTGGGTTCCAAATTTTCTCCCTTCCTCCCTCCCTACCCACCCTCATTGAAAAGGCAAGCAACTCAATATAGGTTATACGTGTGCAGTTATGCAAAACACTTCCATAGTAGACATGTGAAAAACTCTATTTCCCTTAGTCTTATCCTGTCCCCCATTTATTCTGTTCTTTCTTTTGACCCTGTCCCTCCTCAGAAGTATTTGCTTCTGATTACCCCCTTTCCCCATCTGTCCTCCTCTCTATCATCCCCCTACTCTCTTGTCCCATTCCACCCCATTTTCCTGTAGAGTAAGACAGATTTCCATACCTAATTGAGTGTGTATGTTATTCCCTCCTTAAGTCAAATCCTATGAGAATAAAATTTACTCATTGCCTCTCACCTTCCTCCGTTTCCCCTCAATTGTAAGAGCCTTTTCTTTTCTGTTTTTTTGTGACATAATTTACCCCATTCTACCTCTTCCTTTCTCCTTCTCCTAGTATAATCCTCTATCACCCCTTAATTTTATTCTCCTGATATGACCCCTTCATCTTCAACTCACCCAGTGACCTCTATCTATCTATCTATCTATCTATCTATCTACCTATATACATACATACATACATATAATTTTTTCCCTCCAACTACCCTAATACTGACAAAGGTCTCATGAGTTACAAATATCATCTTTCCATGCAAGAATATAAACAGTTCAACCTTAATTAGTCTTTTATGATTTCTCTTTCCTGTTTACCTCTTCATGTTCCACTTGAGTCTTGTATTTGAAAGTCAAATTTTCTATTCAGCTCTGGTCTTTTCATCAAGAATGCTTGAAAATCTTCTATTTCACTGAATGACCATTTTTTACCCTGAAGGATTATACTCAGTTTTGCTGGGTAGGTGATTCTTGGTTGCAATCCTATCTCCTTTGCCCTCCAGAATATTATATTCCATGCCCTGTGGTCCCTTAATGCAGAAGCTGCTAAATCTTGTGTTATCCTTTTTGTGTTTCCACAATACTTTAATTGTTTCTTTCTGGCTGCTTGCAATATTTTCTAACTGACCTGGGAACTCTGGCATTTGGCTACAATATTCCTAGGAGTTTTCCTTTGGGGATCTCTTTCAGGAGGAGATTGGTGGATTCTTTCAATTTCTATTTTGCCCTCTGGTTTGAAAATATCAGGGCAGTTTTCCTTGATAATTTCTTGAAAGATGATGTCTAGGCTCTTTTTTTGATTATGGCTTTCAGGTAGTCCAATAATTTTTAAATTCTCTCTCCTGGATCTATTTTCCAGGTCAGTTGTTTTTCCAATGAGATATTTCACATTGTTTTCTAATTTTTCATTCTTTTGGATTTGTTTTACAGTGTCTTGATTTCTCATAAAGTCACTAACTTCTAATTGCTCTATTCTAATTTTTAAGGAAGTATTTTCTTCAGTAATCTTTTGGACTTCCTTTTCCATTGGCCTATTTTGCCTTTTAGTGCATTCTTCTCCTCATTGGCTTTTTGGACCTCTTTTGCCATTTGGGTTAGGCTATTTTTTAAAGTGTTATTTTATTCAGTATTTTTTTGGATCTCCTTTAACAAGCTGTTGACTTGTTTTTAATGATTTTCTTGTATCACCCTCATTTCTCTTCCCAGTTTTTCCTCTACTTCTCTTACTTGCTTCTCAAAATCCCTTTTGAGCTCTTCCAAGGCCTGGGACTGATTCATATTTTTCTTGGAGGCTTTAGATGTAGGAGCTTTGACTTTGTTATCTTCTTCTGGTTGTATGTTTTGATCTTCTTTGTCACCAAAGTAAGATAATATAGTCTGACTCTTTTTCCACTGCTTACTCATCCCAGCCAGTTACTTGAGTTTTAAACTCTTTGTTAAGGTAAGAGTCTGCTTCCAATGTGAAGAATGTACTGTCCCAAGATTCGGGGTTTTGTACAGCTATTTCCAGAGATACTTCTAGGGACCTGAAAATTTTTAGTTCTTCCAAGGTGGTATGATAAGGGGGAGGTGTTTCCTCTCCACCACCACAACAAGCTCTACCATGCCAGCACTCCTCCTTGCCCTATGACTGCCCCTCAGAACTGTGACCCAGATCCAAGCACGGGCAAAGCAAGAGATTCCTGCCTCAGCACTGGCAAAGAGATCACTGCAATCCCCCTCTGATCAGCCACTCAATTCCCCCTCAGTCTGTGGGGCAGAAGCTCAGGAGGCAGCCACCACCCCAGGCCGTGCTGAGAACTTGTGACTGAGACCTAGTTTCTCCATCACCGCAGACACAGACTTTTCCCACTGACCTTCTAAGTTGTCTTTGGCGTTCATGGGTTGAGAAGTCTGGAAACTGCTGCAGTTGCCTATGATTCAGTCCTCTGAGGCCTGCTCCAGGGTCACTGTAAACTGCACTCCTCTCCCTGCCCAGCGCGATATACTTTTCCGATCAACCATCCAGGTTGTCTTGGGCTGGAAATTTGTTTCACTTTGTCTTTTTGTGGGTTCTGCTGCTTTAGAATTTGTTTAGAGCCATTTTTTTACAGGTATGTGGAGGGGTTTAGGGGAGAGCTCAAGCAAGTCACTGCTTTCACTCCCTATCCTCATTTTAACTGCATTTATCTGTGCAAAACATTTCAAATTTATAAAAGCAGAATTATCCAATTTATTTTCTGTGATCCTCTCTGTTGTTTGCTCTGTCATGACCTTTCCCTCTGTTCATAGATATGAAAAGTAATTTCCTCCTTGCTCCTCTAATTGGTTGTTTATTCCCCTTTTATACCTAATTCATATATCCATTTGTAGTTTAATTTGATAGGTGTTATGAGGTGTTGACGTCCTATCAAATTTCTGGCAAACTGCTTTTTCCTTACCTCATCTGCTTTTTTTTTTTTTTGATCAAATACTGTGATAAAATAGTTCTACTACCCCAACCCCTGCCCACCTGTTGTCTTTGGATATATTAAACACCATTTTATTTTATTTGTTTGCTTCTGTACATTGCATACCTAATCTTTTCAATTGATCAACCTTTCAATTTTTAAAAAATTCCAATTGTTTTCTAGGCACCTAAGTGTCCCACTGGGTCTAAAGTCAAGAAGACTCATTTTCCTAAATTTAAATATGGCCTCAGATATTTACTTGCCATGTGACCCTGAACAAATAACTTAGCACTGTTTGCCTCAGTTCCTCATCTGTCAAATGAGCTGCAGAAGGAAATGACAAAACACTCCTGTATCTTTGTCAAGAAAACCACAAATGGGATCAGTAAAGTCAGACAGGATCAACAACAAAAACAATTGTTTTCATAATCACAGATGTGTGTATAATTTGAGGTCTGCTACTGATAATCACTAACCCCAACCCCTTTTTTTTCCTCCTTCCTCCTCTCCATTACTAACCTTGAGATACTTGACCTCTTTTGTAAAATTCTGTTTCTTACATCACCAGGGTATTGCATGTTTCCTTCCCTCTCTCCATCCTTGAAAACCATGTCATGTGACATATAGTATTTTTTTGTTTGTTTTAGGGAGGAAAAGAAAATGGAGCACAACTGATGGATGAATTTGGGAAAAGATGTGCCATGTGTAACACCTGTGGACCTCTCACCTCCTGGACAGGGTAAGATGATGGTGTCTCTCATGTTTCATTTTCAGTCCCACTTGATCTTTAACATTTTGTTAGACATAGTTTTAATTTTTTGGTGTGTCATTCTTTCTATTTAAATTGAAGTTACAGTGTATATACATTTTTTTCTTAGCTCGACTTACTTCACTTTGCATCATTTCATATCTTTCCATACTTCTTTGTACTCATCACACACATCATTTCTTACAGGACAATGTTAGTATTCCATGACATTCACATTCCATGCCTTGTTTAGCCATTCGCTGGTTGATGAGTATCTGTTTCCAACTCAATGCTGTCACAGAAAGTGCTGTTATAAATATTTTGGAGCCAATGCAAGCAAGAATCGCAGACAAACAGAAAACTGAGAAACAATTTTTACAACTAGTGTCTCTGAAAAAGGCCTCATTTATAAAATACATAAAGAACTGAGTCAAATTTATAAGAATACAAGTCATTCCCCTTCTGAGAAATGGTTAAAGGATATGAACAGGCACTTTTCAGATGAAGAAATTAAAGCTATCTATACTCATATGAAAAAATGCTCTAAATCACTATTGATTTAGAAGAAATGCAAATCAGAACAACTCTGAGGTACCACATCACAGCTATCAGATGGGTTAATATGATAAAGGAAAATTATAAATGTTGGAGAATATGTGGGAAAATTGGAACACTAATGCACTGTTGGCAGAGTTGTGAACTGATCCAACCGCTCTGGAGAGCAATTTGGAAGCATGCCCAAAAGGCTATAAAAGTGTGCATACCTTTTAATCCAGTTGTACTACCACTAGGTCTGTATCCCAAAGAGACCATTAAGAAAAGGACACCCACAAGTTCAAAAATATTTATAGCAGCTCTTTTTGTGGAGGCAAAGAACTGGAAACTGAGGGGAAGCCCATCAATTGGGAAATTTTGATTGCATCATGATCTGGAATAAATGCATTTATATTTCTCTATTTCTGCATTTGATTTTGAGGGTTTTTTTTTAACTTTAATATATGGTCAGTTTTTGTCTAGGTGCTATGTACCATTAAGAAAAAGGTTTATTCCTTTCTATGCCCATTCAGTTTTCTCCAGAGGTCTATCATATCTAACTGTTCTAAAATTCTAATCACCTCCTTAAGTTCTTTCTTGTTCATTGTGTAGTTAAATTTATCTAGTTCTGAGAAGGGAAAGTTGAGGTCTCCCACTAGTATAGTTTTACTGTCAATTTCCTCCTGTAACATATTTCATTTCTCATTTAGAAACATGGATGATATACCATTTCGTGCATATATGTTTAGTATTGATAGTACTTCATTGTCCATGATACCTTTTAGGAAGATGTAGTTTGCTTCATTGTAACTTTTAATTAAATCTGTTTTTACTTTTGCTTTGTCTGAGATCATGATTGTGACCCCTGCTTTTTTTTCCCTTCTGCTGAAGTATAACATATTTTGCTCCAGCCTTTTACTGTTACTCTGTGTATATCTATGCTTCAAATGTTTTTCTTGTGAACAGCATGTTGCAGGATTCTAGGTTTTAATCCACTCTGCTATCTGTTTCCATTTTCTGGGTGAATTCATCCCATTCACATTCACAGTTATGATAACTATATATTTCCCTCCACCCTGATTATTCTTGTCTCTCTCTCTTTTCACCCTTTCCTTCCTCATCAGTGTTTTGCTTCTGACTACCTCTACCTCAAGATGTCCTCCCTCCTATCAGCCCCCTCCCCACATTTCCTTGTCCCCCTCTCCTCTTATTTCCTTATATGGTAAGATAGATTTCTATACACTACTGAATGTGTATGTTGTTTCCTCTTTGAGCCAGATCTGATGAGAGTAAATTTCAGGCAATGCCCACCCCTATCCCTTCCAAAGTTTTCCACTTGTGCTATCTGTTTTTTTTTAATCAACTACAGACAGTTTCACTTTGCATAAGTGGACCTCTGACCAAACCTCTAAGTATAGCAATTTCTAGCATAATGTGAATTTTCCTATGGACCAGGCTACAAGGTAGGGACGGAGGCAGGAAGCGTCATGCACCTGTGAAGGTTGGAGGCCAAGAGACAGTTCAAGCACACATGGGGGCTGGCAACAGAGAAATAAGAGCAAGAGGAGGATCAGACAGATATCTGGGATAGTCACATGATGGCTTCGCCAGAACCAAGAGGAAAAACATGCCAGGGACAGACATGTGGAAGCTGGACACAACCAAAAACAGAAGAAGATAAATAACACATGGAACAAGGAATGACACATGGTACCTGAGCATAGATGGTCTAAAGAAAGACATATGGATGGCAGACACATGGATAAGTGGGCAGAGCAGGGCAAAAGTCTCTTCTCTCAGCACTGGAGTTATCAAGCCAAGCACTGATCCTGAGAATGCAGAGTTGGAAGGAATTACTCTGCACATCTAAATCCCCTTTCTTTCCTCCTTCCTACCTCTCCATTAATACCCTTTAGATTCTTGACCTCATTTTAAAAAATTCATTGATGTTTTCTGTTTCTTACATCACAGTATCCCATGTATACCTCCCTCTCCTTCTCCTCCCTGAGAGCTATGCCATACAATGAATGGTATTTTTTTTGTTTTAGAAAAATAAAAAAAATCAACAGAACTATATGGTACCCAGAGGAAAAGATATTTGTGGTGGGCGACTCTCTGAAAACATTCCAGTTACTACAGGCTTGCTCTCTATGAAAACACATCAAGGGAAAAATGTATATTTAATAAAATAGAAGCCTTTGAAGCATGATGAAAAGACAAGAGCTGAATAGAAAATGTGACTTTCAAATAGAAGACTCAAAAAAAGCATTAAAAGAGAAATATGAAAGAGAAATCATAAGTGACTCAATAAGGTTAAACTGTGTATTTTTCTGAAAGGGAAGATAACAACATGTTTTTTATAAATTTTATCATTATTCAAGCAAGTAGAAGGATTCTACCTAGAAAAAGGTTGTGGGAGTGAGTCAATTACATGGGGATGATGCAAAATGAATGGATAGGAGAGAAATATGGGGAAAGGTAGAAAAGAGAGAAAGAATGGGGAAAATGGTCTCACATAAAATAGGTCTTAAAGGAAAAGCTTTTACAGTGAAGCAGAAGATGGTGGTGAGTGAGCGGCCAATGCTTGAGTCCCAGTCACCCCTAAAATGGTTCAAAAAGGGATGTGTATATATATATATATATACATACATACATACATATATATAGTATGTTCCACACACACACACATATATATACACATATGTGTGTGTTTTCTCAATTGATTTTAAAAATCTATGTTACCCCATAGGTAAGTAGGAGAAGGGGATAAGAGAAAGAAAAAGTGCTGATAAAAGGGTAGGCAGCTAAAAGAAAGCTGTGGTCATATTCAAAACACACATTAGAGGAGGGACAGGAAAAAAAGAGAGAGAGAAGGAGAAACAGAAGACAATAGGATGGAGGGAAATGAATAGTAATCTTAACTTTGTGAATAAGATGAATGTGCTCATAACATGGAATCAGGTAGCAAAATGGATTAGAAACCAGAATCCAACAATATCCATATGTTTTTTTTTTTTTTACAAGAAATGCACTTGGAACAATGAGAGAACCACAGAGTTAAAATAGGGGGCTAGAGCAGAAACTTTTACATGTTAGCTGAAGTAAAAAATGCAGGGGTAGCAATCACAATCTCAGAAAAAGCAAAAGCAAAAATACTGCTAGTTAAAAGGGGTAATCAGGGAAACTACATCTTGTCCAAAGGAACCATGGACAATGAAGTAATATTAATAGTAAACATGTATTTGAGAAATGGCATAGCATTCAAATTCTTAAAAGAAAAGTTAAATAAATTACAGGAGGAGATAGACAGTCAAACTATAGTAGTGGAGGACCTCAAATTTTCTGTGACCTAGATAAATCTAACCATAAAATAAATAAGAAAGATATCAAGAAGATTAATTGAATCTTAGAAAACTTGGATATGTGAGAACTTCAGTGAAAACTGAAAAGGAATGGGAAGGCATACAGACAGATCTTGCTTTCTGCAAATTCACATTATGTAAATTGGGTTTTACATAAGGAATTCTGAAAGAAATCTGCATTCCAAAAACCCTATGTAAACTTTACCATACAGTATTGGGATCTCTTTCTGTTCCTGCCTTTTGGTTTGGTGCTCTGTGGCCTCTTAAATTCTCCTCCCCCACCCCTCAAAAAAAAAAAAAACAGCCTTCAAAAAATCCTCCAAGTGAAAGCAGAAGAATATCCCTGCAAAAGAGATAGCCACCACCACTGCTGGATCAGGGTTTGGCTTGAGACCTCCAAAGCTGAGAGAGGAGACCTTGGATTCAGTCCACCTGCCTACCCACAAGTTTGGTCCCTGTGGTTTAATATTTTGTCCATTCACACTGGAGTACCATTTGTTGATCCCTGGGCCCCACATATTGCCTTTTCTCTCCTCAATGTTTCTGTGTCCAGGTCCCATATGTCTGCCAGCCTGCCTCTTCCTTTCAGTTCCAGGTAGAGTCTCATGGACCTGGCCCTGGAAAGCATGTGGTCCTCCTCCTGATCTTGCTTCTCTATGCCCAGCCCTCACATGTCTTTGAACCAGGTGTCAGCCCCTCCCCCACAGAGTCATAGCCCCTTTCCTGTCTACCTTGTGCCCTTTTCCACATCCACAGGTATATTCACATTACATAAATATTGTTTTATATACAAGTTCATGGAACAGTTCACGACATAAAGTGAGAACTAACTGTATACCTTTTTCTCAGCTCTATGTGACAGCTTAAAGAAGTCTTCTAATTCAATTTTCTATTTCTATTTCATTTTTTCCCTGAAAAAGTTTATACTCAGTTTTTCTGGGTAGGTGATTCTTGGTTGTAATCCTCACTTTTTTGCCGTTGAGAATATCATATTCCAAGCCCTTTGATGGTTTAAATGTAGAAGATGCTAATCTTGTGATATCCTTCTTGGCTGTAGCCCCACCACATTTGTATCATGGCTTTCAAGTAGTCCAA